CTTCCCAGAAACCACTTCCCAGAAACCACTTCCCAGAAACCACTTCCTAGCCTCGGGAGACCATTTCACCCGCGTTCCGAAACAAGGCGAATCCAGGGTCCGAAACGAGACGAATCCAGGTTCCGAAACGAGGCGTCGGCCGTCGCTCGGCCCATGAACAAACACTAGTCACTAGTAATGTGGAGAAGTAGGTCTACGGAGTGACTGGCGTGACATTTAGGTTATCGTTTGCTTATCGTTTGGATTATCGTTTGGCAAGTTGTCTGGGGTTATCATTGGTGAAAAGTTGTGCCCATCGGTTTAGCTCAAATATGCTCAAATAAACATGCAAATGCAATAACATATTGTAACCACAAACGTCTTTGTACCCACTACAGTACGTCTTAACAAGATCATCGTTTATTATCGTTTTTGGTGGGGACCATATCGTTTTCCACAGAAACGAAGCCCTCAACATAGGTTTAGGGTCATGCCGTGACTAAATAAGTCAACCAATAATTTTGTCCGTCGCTCATATCAGAATGGCAAAACGTCCAAGCTGACCTGGCGCTGTCCTCCTTTCTGGTGCGGTAGCACGTCAACATCGTGAAACAAAGAGACCTTGGTTGCCCAGCAGGTGAAGTGACACTGTCATTTGCACATGGGAACTAACAAGTAAAAATGCTCAATGAATATCCAACCCTAGGGCGGCATGCGCTTGTTTTCCTGCTTGGGATTGGAGTCTTGAGACAAGTGTTGTAGTACAAGCACAGCAATATGTCTGCTGTGGCTTCAGTGCCACATGCAGTTACTATTGGACTACTACAGTAGAGTAAGAAGCCGAGAACGAGCGTCCGTCCAAGGCTTCTACACCGCACTTGCGACAACGGTAGGTCCATTGAGGTGTCCTGCCAATGCAAATGGAAACAGTATCTAGAGATGAAAATAGATGTATCCTTTGGTTGCCAAATGCAGGCAATGAAGCTTCTCAGCTGGCTTGATTCTGCGCAGTATTATAATCTGATGCATCAGTCCTGTGAGCACGTTCATCGTCTCCCTCCTGGCTCTGGAAAGCTGGGTACTCTTGAAATGCTCTAGAGCCACCAATGTCTCTGCAGCTGCCTCTTCTGCTTCACCATCTTGCCTGCAGGACAGTCAGGAAAGCGTTGCAATTCAGTTCCGCGATAATGCTGCGGCCTGTCTTCTTGTTGCTCGGCCAATATTTCTTGCATTGCCTCATGTGCGCCTTCAGCCAACCTGCGAGGGCTTCCAGCGAAAGTTGCACCGAACTGGCTACATGGTTGGTTGAGATGACTGCCTTAAATTCAAGCGACACTTAGCAAGCGTACAAAGTAGCAGCCTTCCGTCCTGCTCTGGATTCTGATTCTGTTCTTGAAATTGCCCTTTGCTCACCTGTTCCCAACAGGCAATTATATATATTACATATAGACTGTTAATTCAAAACTAGAGCTTGTGAATCATCGAATGGTATGTTCAACTGCTCTTTCAGAGTATTTAATCAAGTTGAGTTCTGTCTGAAAAGAGAAAGCCAAGGGAGCACTTGACATCCTAAGCTATAAAACCAAGACATGATTGAACTGTGAGAGCCTCTGCAGGCGCCAAATCTTTAAGGCACTGCAACCAAGGTTGAGCCTCACGGGCTGTTTGATTCTGCAGAGTTTTATAGACGTCTTTCGTTGCTCCTCGGCTTCCAGCGATTTCAACAAGCTTTAGTGCAGAGCTAAGACCTACCTTCAGGCAAGGTACAGCAGATTCAGCCAAACATCTCATCATGAAGTACGTAAGGCCACCTTAATATTATGTTTTAATCAGCACCAATCGTGATCGGCTCCTCTACCTCCCACCTCGGAGTAGAGCAGTAAATGTGCCAGCGCCACTGCCGCTCCAGCAACGTAACCACCGCTGCCTGCAGAACAGTCGAAATTCAAAAGTCAAAAGTCATCAGCAAGCAGGCGCTGTATGATTACGTTAGTGTGTCACATCGTGGAAGGCTATGTTTGAGGCTAGAGTATGGCCACAAACAAATGTTCCATTCTGTAAGGAGTCTGCAACAGCAAACAAAACATAAGAACACCAAGCTGTGTCATCCGGGTCACTCCTGCAGAAGCTGCCACGAGTACTTTGGGTGCCTTTAGGACAGTGCTTGTAAACAAGTCACATAAGGATTCGAAACGACCAAAGCTTGAATGCCTCAAAACATTCGTTTGTCCCTCCAGAACCCTTTCGCAAAAGCCCTCAAAACCGTGCCTTGACCACGTCTGACTTCTCGGGTGCATGGCCGGGCCTGCGACCATGAACAAGGTGGGGATATGTTGCAAAACCAATCTCAAGCGTGCCTCCAAAACAGGGCACGCATCTCCTCTCGGTCTTGTGAATTTACTGTTGACAGTCCGGGCAGCGGCAAAGGCACAAAGTGTGCTCCTCCTTGTGCAGCTCCACACGGAACTGTCCAGCTACCTGAAGGTTCAAGGAAAGAACTTCTAGAACAAATGAATTTCACAGCTTTTGCATACCTATGCGCAACATTGGGTTTGAGATCTGTACATGCAACCGTTTAGCTTGGACATCAAGAGATATACAATTAGACCGTCTGAGCCTCTGCGGGTGACCCGCGGACACGGATTCCATTGATGCGCTCGAGGCGGTCTCCATAGCGCACCTCGCATGAAGCTGGATGAACCGCCAGAACCATCCTTCCCGCCTCAAAGGCTCCATCCGAACTGGCCTGAAGGCCCTGTGGTTGGCTAGCATTCCACCGATCAATGGGAGAACCCTCAGCCTGACATTCAGACAAAAAGAGCCCTTGTGGAACCGCAACGCTTGCGATGGAATTCAGCACAGCAAATCCTAGGATCTGGCAATCTCATCCACCACCAAGCGGCGTGACCTCAATGCTCCAAGGGTTGCTTCGCCAGAGCGCAAAGCGCTGAATGAGTGGTGCACGATTTGAACATCTGCTGGTGCCATTTGATACCTTGAAACAAAGCCATCCATGAAGACCAAATACACAAAGCATTGATCAAGAGGTTTTGCTGCGTGCAAGATACCCCACTTGTCTTCTTCTCGTCTTAGGCGAACCCGGAGTCTAATGCCTTGCAATGTGTCGTCAATATTTATCAAAACATCTATCTGTGAAAACCAAAGACATCCGTAGGAGCAAGGACGCTACTGGGGGCTCCTGGCCTTACTACTAGGAGCAAGGACGCTACTAGGGGCAAAGGGCATCGCTACTAGGAGCAAGAAGCTTACAACTTTCAGACGCTCAAACACCTTCATCACTGCCACCCTCCTCGTCGGAGGAGTCTCCAGGCTCCACATCATAACCTTAGTTTAGCCCAGAGACGACTACCGACGACTACCTGTCAAGTTTAGCTTTGAAGCACACCAAGGTCCTAATGTCGACATGCTTTGACTCACACTAATGCAGCTCATGCAGCAAGAATCAAGACCCAAATCAATATGTTTGCCGAAAGCACGCCTCGTTTTTCCTGTATCAAGAGAATCCCAGCAGTTTCTGAAGGCTTACAGTAAACCATGGAAAAAAAAAGCAAATAAAGAGGAGAAACGAAGGTGTTTTCCTGGGCTGAAAGCTTTGGTTGGCTGCCAGTTGCGCAGCAACAAGCACCTGCGAAGAATCTGCTTGTGCTGTGGAGTTGAAGAAAAACTAAAATGGAGTGCTGAAGTGGCCTCTTGAAGTACTTGGGCCTCACATGCAAGCTACTGCATATCAAATCCATTCGTCCCATGTTTGAGACACGCAGGAAGCACGGCAAACATGAGAATGCGGCACTCTGTTTCAAGCTCTCTGCATTCGGTGCCACACGGGCTCGAACACATTGTTCCTCAACAGTGTGAAAATGAAGAATACTGCGCGCATAGGATGGGCCAGGTCACACCCCTAGACTCGGACACGAACAGAAATGAATGAAATGCAATCAATGACTGGAAACCCCCTTTTCCAAGGGTGGTTCATCCTCATGTTCGTTTGGGAATCCTTTTCCTGCGGCAAATTGTGTACCTCAAATCCTTTTGTTACTACAATTATGAATATATATATATATATATGTATAGCGTACTAGTAGACCACAGTGCGGTAGTATACCACTGTCACACCAAATGCTAAACTATTCACTAAATCCTTAGGGCCGAAGTTGCAAAAAACAATCGCCTCGCTTTCTGAGCAACCCTTCTCTGTCGGCCTGGAGGTCTGGCTCCTCTGGACTCAGAAGCACAACACAGGGCCGTTGGAGCTCCAAGGCCTGGCACAGCGGTCCGCGGGAGCAGATCTTGGTATCCAGTCAATTCAGCTACTCAATCCAGTCATAGTAACAAGTGCATCGCTACTAGTAACAAGGGCATTACTAGTAGTGACATTTGTCAGTACATGTGTGGGGAAAAAAGATTGCATTCCTACAACATCTACAACTCAACTAAGTACAACGAATACTCAAGTGTAAGAACAAGTGCCTTACTAGTAGTAACAAGAAGCTACCAGGAACAAGTGCCTTACTAGTAGTAACAAGAAGCTACTAGGAACAAG